TGGCTAAACACTGTGGGCACATTAACACAATCTAGAAAGTAACACACCACTTAGGTCTGTCCACAACATGGGCTTTAACTCCATTAGGGCTATCTGGGGCCTTTCTGGCCTTTTCTGAGTCTCCACACAGGTTTTCCCCCCCTGGTCTCTGTGGGCAAAACAATGTAGGTGTCTGCTGCTTTAAATGCAAACCTCTCCACATGAATACAGTGTAAAGTGTCAAATATTGCATTAGCTTTACATTTAACTGGCTTTTAAATGAGTAGGTCTGCCTGCACACATTTACTGCATGTAAAATGACAGCTGGAAGTTTATACTTTCAACAACAGCTCTGTAAAAAAATGTAAGGCTTTTTATTTTTTTACATAAACATATGTCACCAGTTCACAGAAAAACACACTTTAAGGTCTTATGAACATTGCTATTATTGTAAAGATGGCTAATGTGTCAAAATAAAGTATGTTTCTACTTAAAGGTCCAACACCATCAGTAGATCAGTAAGCTCGCATCAAAGGGAAACAAACCACTGCTGTGATAACCAACTCCACACCAGCACAGACTGAAACTCTGTTTTTCCTCGAGTGCAAAGCTAGCCTTTGCTGACTTTATTGGCACACTGGGCTTAATTAACTTGGGGTAGAGTGTTTACTGTCAGACAACTGGCTTCATTTAGCTTTTGATGAATGATTGATGCCTCTCAAGGGTGAAGCAGCAAATGAGCACAGGCATAGAAAAAGGTCTAACGCTCCCTTGACGAACATGGAAAATGATAAAAATAAACATCATGAAACAAACATCTTTGAAAGGGATGGGATTATGTACATCAGTATGTGTCAATAAGAATACATACAGGGAGTAACCTTTAATCTTCACTCAGTGATTACATAATATAGCCGAGTAACCGAGACTTTCTCAGACACTTTATTTTATTGTGTTGTTCTTCCATTTGTCAACTGACCCTCTGATGTATTCATCAGAACATGGGACATATATCAAGGGTTTGAAGAAACTTAAAGATTTCTTAAATTCTCAGACAGACAGCGTTGGGTTTGTAACACCACACATGCTCACAAGATAAATTAAAGAGATTAGAAATAATGGGTGAAAAAAAAACAGGTTCCTGTCTCACGTGTGTAAATATGTGTGACAAAGTAATTCAACTCAATGCCCACTCACTTGCTCTTTCTGATATTAGCTGCATCTTCATCAACAAACGGATTACGTGTAGATATGTTCATTTGTCTAAATATTCTAAGAAGGGAACATCACTCTTTAGCTCACAATCATAGAGATATTATAGAAATTCACTGATCTAATTATAAGGAAGGCATCCCTTTTGATCATTGTGTATTTCCCATCAGAGTTTGGTTTTGTACTCTGAGTATTTTACCACAAAGAGTTCCCAGACAATCTGAGTTTGCAGGTCAAACCATGTCATAACAAGTCAGAGGGAATGTACTGACTTAAAAGTTTCATCTTATCATCATTAACTATGTAGATTTATTATCTGTGCACTATAGAGGCATAATATAAATTCATAAATTCAAACTCCTTTAAAACATCTGTGTCTTATGTGGATTATTTTCATCATCATTATTGTGACAGCAAAGGTTACAACTGTGCTTATCTCACACAGTAGGCGGCACAGTGTAATCTGAGCTGCAAAGAGGCGTTACCAGTCCAGTCTCACCCTGTAGTCATTTACTGGCAAATGGAGGAAGTGACTCATCTCACCAAGCCAGTGTGAACAATACTAAGGGTACAAAGAACTTCTAATGAAACTGTTACACCCTCAACCTCTGTAAATAAGAGTCTGAGAACAACAAATTGAGGTCAGAAACAAACTGAGTTCTTACAGTCTCCTCCGAACACAAGGCCTGAAAAATCTATAAAAAGTGGGGGAAAGAAGGGGAAATAGATGAACATTTCCTCCTAACGATGGTGCTACAGGAAATGTCAGGTGAACATTATGATCATATAGGATTCATCCTCTGGGGCCCATGAATATCCATTGCAAATTTTATGGAAATGTTTCCATTCATTTTTGAAAGGTCAGGTAGTTAGCAAAATAATTAGGTATCCTTTGGGGACTATTAATATCTGTGACAACTTCATGCAAGTGTGGCCAGTTCTTGTTGAGATATCTTACTTTTTCCATCACCAAGCAAGTGCACAGATATAGGATGGATGAGTGTGGGATCAGCCATGTGGTTGTAAGTGGTTTTATCATGTATATAAAAGAATTCAAAATTCTACCACCTAGCTGGTTCATATGGGCATTGACTGGAAGGTTGAGTCTCATGTCAACAGCTATCGATCCTGCTCCTGTGGCGTCACTGAGGAAAAACCTGTGAATCCCCACCGGCTGCTGAGTCGATGCCCTGTGGTTAACCCTGTGCTTGAACATCACTGCAGTGGAGGGCGAGAACATTGAGTCTCCCTGTGAGCATCGATAAAGTTTTGCTAGTGAATTTACAGTCCAGTCAGTCTTGTGTTGTTTTACTTATGGATGATGATTTCTGCCTGGAAAAGAAAAAATGGATGAAAAGTTAAATTTAAGAGAATTTATGAAGGAGTAACTCACAGTTATGAGACACTACAATTTCCACTCACTATCACATAAGTTTGACTTAAAATGATGAAATCAAAAAGTCAAAATTGTGAGATGAAAAATCTATATTATACCAAGTGAAATTCATTAGCTAGTAAGTCGACATTTTGACTTACCATCCCATAATATTGACTTAACAAGTAAAGATTTTCTGTAAGAAATGTGACAGAACAGAGTGCACAAGTCCAAGGCTGGGTTACCAATTACCGTTTCTGTCTACATAATTTGATTAAACCCAAATTAGCAAGAGATTTGCATTGCTTCGCTATAGTATCAACCATGATAGGTCCTCCATCTTGTCTTCCCTTGAGTCTGCGCCAAAACCTAGTTTTATGACCTTGATTGTTTAATTCGTATTGAGCTAAATTTTTTGTAATTCTATGTTTTATCACACCAATTCAACATTTTTTCTGTGTGTCAAGTAATTAACCTCAGGCAAGGTACTATTATTTCATGGAAGAACTGTAAGGCTGAAACCAATTTTAATAATCCATGCATGTGAGTTATTTTCGTTAATAACTGACTAATTGAAGAAATTATATTAGGCTTATATGAAGAAAATCAGTGAAAAATACCCATCATTATTAGATCCAGCGTCATATGAGGTGATTGGTGAGCAGTAACCCCTGGTTTGGATTGCGAAACTGTTTTCTGTTCGTGACATAAACAGGGTGGGATGATGACGTCTGAGACAGCCGCCATACAAAAAGCGGCTTCATGTGACGTAGACGAACAGTCAGCATTCTTTCTCCACCGAGGCCGGTAGCAGCCACATCTCAGCATTCGTGTTTATGCTATTTTAAAACAAAACCTCACAGGTTTTAACACGACGTTTGAGCTATCTTTTCTATTCAGTCTTTATTTTTTTCTCTTGGTCGACCAAGACAACAGTTAAGCTGACGTTCCGTTTGTAAAGGTAAGGTATTTAGGTGATTTTCCGTGCCTGGCTAACGTTAGCCGACCGACCGGTCCGGTAGGAAGTTCGTTTTAGGCTGATTGTCATGTTACAAGATTTAAAATACTATTCTGGATTTTCAAGTTTAGCGTTGGCTAACGTCGTTGACCTAGAAAAATTGTTCCGCAATGGTTTCATGTTCAGGAAAACCTTGCCTGGTCTCTGAGAGTTGTTTACAGCCTGTTAGCCGTTAGCTTCCCGGAGGCCTACAGAACAAAACCCCCCAGATGTCGTTGTGTGGACTTCCGGTGTCTGAACAAAGACCTCATAAAATCAGCTGATGTTCTCCTCGGTGAACATAAATCCTTTTATAACTGAATTGACACCTATTTCTCTGGATTATAGGAAAAATGAATACTTTTATGATCCAAATAAATGTTTTTAGACGTTTTCGGTAAATTTTGACCTGACCATTTGGGGATATTAGGAAACCGATAGTAGGAAAACGTAATCGTGAGTAAATTGAGAAGTGCTTGAGAAATAAGATTTCATTCGAAATTACCAACAATAGCTCGGATTATAAATTCACCGACTATGGATTTGGATAAATCCAACAAGGCGCACATGTAAACCATGTTCGAATTCGAAATTTTCGTCCCCATCGGATAGTGTTTCCTGTATCCAGTGCTGCCCTCCATGATTGGGGTTAGGTTTAGGTAAGATACTTAACACTTGGATAACACGGGTCAACGTTAGGTTATGGTTAGGAGGAGTAGTTGGGGTTTATAGTTGGGTTGAGGTAATGAGACACAAAACGGTTGGGAAACAGACGTCGACATATCACCTCCACCGTCGTGTGCTAAGCTAACACTATCTGTTTCATATTCTCTTGTATGGACACGTGTTGGCGCTCATGTGGTCAACAAGTTAGTTAAAATCAAATGAATAGTTGATAATAATCGAATCTACTGTTTCAGGTATCATTGTCGCGTTGTTGTAATGTGCTTTATAAACCTCGAATCCGGCTCTCTGCAGGCCTTCAAGTCGTAAAAGGCCTTGGTTGCGGGTTCCTAAAAAGGCCTATTATAAAGCTTCTAAAAGAGCTTAAAATTAATTTTCAGATGTCTTAAATATTTCTTTCTTTTTCTGTATTTGATCTTTAGCAAAGATTGTGCAAATGTTCCAGTACTGTCACAGGCCTCTGATGTTATGTTGTGGGCCTTAAATAAATAGGTTAATCCAGCCATCCATTTTCTGGTGCTTATCTGGATCCAGGTCGTGTTTAATGATTAAGTAATGCTATTATTAGGAATATACAACTGGCAAGTCGTGACAAAAATGTTCATAAGCGAATGCACTTGATAACTAATTGTTGGCCTTATTGTCCTTACTGGTTTTCATGTTTATCTTTCCTGTCAAATGTTTGCTTTCATTTTACAGCCGTTAGCTGCCAGCTAATTTTTTTTCTGTATATCCGTCTCTACTTCCAGATCGCTCTTTCCTGCCCCACTCCTAGACCTTTATTCTTTTCAGATATTCTTTGTCAAGCCGCCAAAGTGGAGAGTGTCGTTGCGCCAGGGGGTCCTTCTCGTTTCAGGTAATAGACATAATCACACTTGACTTTATTTTCTTTTACTGAAAATCCTCTCAAGAAGCTCACATAAAGACTTAGGCTCACATTTCTTATGCTAAGTTAAAACAGTTTTCCTTTTTTTTCTTTTTTTTTTTTTTTGGTATCACAGTGTAGGGGGAGGAGGTGGGGGTGCACCTCAGCACTATCCCAAGACTGTCGGCAACAGGTGATTTTTCCAAATTTTCCTTTCACATAGATCACATAGTCACTAAGCTTTGTTTCATCTTAAATCCATAAGCCTCACCACTGACCGTAAATTGCATTCCCACATATGTATTATTGTTTTATCAGCACAGCTGGGGGAACTGGGTGTAATAATTGGCTTCTTTGCCCTATGACTACACCCTGATAGGATGGTGGTTTCCTGTTTTGAGAATAAAGTTTCTCCTCTGGAAAATTAACAGCTTCTACAGCTTTTACTTTGAAATTGCATGACCTTCCACCATTTTGACAGTGGCTCAGGTTGATTCCGTGTAGAGCTCAAATGATTAGTCTGTTAATTGATAAGTTAAATAACAGAAAAATAACCGGCGACCATATTGAAAATCAGTTAATTGTTTGAGCAATTTTTAGGCAAAAGTAGCGAAACAATATAAATAGCAGGATTTGCTGCTTCTCTTTGTGACATGTCATACTAAAGAGAATGTCTGTCTTTGTGTGACATTTCAAGACGTCTCCTTGGGCAGTGCAAGTTGTGATGGACATTTGTTCATTATTTGTTGTCCTCTCTTAAACCAAAAGATTAATCAATCAAAAAAAAAATGCTTTAAAAAAAGAGCTTGCAGCTTGTAAACTATCTTTGTGTAGAAACCACATGCAATTGCTGGCTGAAATGATTTGGCACCCCACAGTCAGTAATTTCTTTAATTTTACAATGCTCCATTGCAAATATTTAAATAGCCAACTACTTGGTGACAAATAAATCACTGAACAATTTACACAGCTCCATTTCTTCACAATATGTCAAACAAATAACAACCCACCTGATTCGGGTCAGGTCGGTTGCCTTTTACCGGTGGGACTTTCCAGTGTAAAATATTGCCAAATTGCTGACATTTTTCCAGTGGCTAATGTTACACTATTTTTTTGGAAATCAATTCTTCTTAATCACTCTAAAACAGTAGTTTCCAGTGGCTTAACAGTGCCACTTCCTGTGTAGGCTACTGTATTAGTGCAGCAAAGAAGAATTGATTTCATGGGAAAACTGCTGTTTTATTTGGATGTGAAACTACTAAGTTTATTAATGAATTATGTGGCATCAGATCGGTTCATAGGCTTGCATACTCGCAGATAACCGATACAGTATTTTAGGCAATATCGGAGGCATTTCTGATACTAGTATTGGAATCTACTTGTAACTCAGTCACCATGGATCAGGGTAGATACCCGAGATATGTCATGTTTTCCTGATTTTAAATATTTTTTGTATTTTAACAGTGGCTATGTTTTGTGTTCATTGCAGCGAGTTCCTGGGGAAAACCCCAGGTTCTAGCGTTCAGAGATGGGTACCTTCTCGAAGCACTAGACGAGATGCCAACTCCTCCAATGAGAAAGGGCAAAATGATGCAATCTTCAGGAAAGTGAGAGGGTACGTTTCCATTTAAATCCATAAATTCTCAGGCACAGATTGTGCACAGTTTTTACACAGTATCACTTAAATGGTAAGCTACGACCTGAATAAGACATTGGAGATAATCTGTCGATATATGAATGTTATTGTATTGTCTTTTAAAAGCTTTCCTTAACCCCTTGTCCTTCCTCTTCTTCATTAGCATACTTAATAAGCTGACTCCTGAGAAGTTTGACAAACTATGCCTGGAGCTCCTCAATGTGGGTGTAGATTCAAAACTTGTCTTAAAAGGAACCATCTTGTTGGTGAGTATTCTCTTAAACCGTGCTAGTCTATCACTCCTATAACGTATTAAAATGGGCACATAATCTTTTTTATCTTTTTTTTTTTTTTTTTTGTCTCAAGATTGTTGACAAAGCCCTCGAAGAGCCCAAGTACAGCCAGTTATACGCTCAACTATGTCTACGCTTGGCTGAGGATGCACCAAACTTTGAAGATCCAACAACAGAAAGTCAAGCAACACAAAAGCAGAATACTGTAAGTTTTTTTTTTGTCCTTTTTTTTTTTTTTTTGGAACAATAAGATTTACACTTTACTGCTTTCTGGTATGTTCTGTTTGTCTTATTTTGAACAAATTCTGTTTTACAGACCTTCAGAAGGCTTCTGATTTCCAAGCTTCAAGATGAGTTCGAGAACCGGGCTAAAAATGTCGAACGTAAGTGAAATATATTTGATACATGTTTAGTTAAAAAATACAAAATTTGCGTGAATGTATTCATGCATGAATTGTTCATTTTCTTTTTTTTTCTTTTTTTTTTCCCTGTAGTCTTTGACAAACATGATGGCCCACTCACTTCTGAGGAGGAGGAGCAGCGTGCTATTGCAAAGATCAAGATGCTGGGCAACATCAAATTCATCGGCGAACTTGGAAAACTCAACCTTATCCACGAATCTATCCTTCATAAGTGCATCAAAACAGTAAGTTCTGTTGATTTAACATTTAGATATTTATCTCTAATGTAACATTTACATATGTCTCTGTTATTGTAAACCTTTTTTGTATTCTTAATTTCTGTGAGAGCTTCCTGATGGTTAAATTTCCAAAGTCACCTCAACACTTGTGGAAGCAATGAAAGTGGATTAATTAAACATTTCTCATTTCTTTTCAAGCTTTTGGAGAAGAAGAAGAGAGTCCAACTTAAGGATATGGGTGAAGATTTGGAATGCCTCTGTCAGATAATGAAAACAGTGGGACCTAAACTTGATCATGAAAAGGCTAGGGTGAGTATATTGAGGAAATGGCAAAAAAAACAGTCCTGTCTTAAAATCCCCGTGTTCCATTTTAATAACAAATAAATTCTCTTCTCAGTCTTTGATCGATCAGTACTTTGGCCGCATGCGCTCCTTAATGAACAACAAGGAACTGCCAGCGAGGATTCGTTTCCTGCTGCAGAACATGGTGGAGCTACGAGAAAACAACTGGGTGCCTCGTAAGGCTTATGTTGACAACGGACCAAAGACAATCAACCAAGTTCGTCAGGATGCAGTAAAGGTTAGTCTATCTGGTCCACTGTAGGATTAACTTTAGGATGGGCATTCATTAAGAGCTGTAAGAATGATGTATGGGATCAAATACTTACTGGACTAGTCATTAATATCAGTGTACTGGTTTAGTAGTCTAAAGTCTGCCTGTAGCCTTAGATTCTGATTTGTCTTTGCAGGATCTAGGTGTTTTTATTCCACATTCAACTGATGGAATGAGAAATGAGTTCTTCATGGAAAACTCCTCCTTCCTGCCAACAAGGATCAAGTTTGACAGGGAAACTCTTGGTGGGCTGGCTGATATGTTTGGACAAATGCCTGGTATGTCGCAGTTTTTTTTCACACTTGAGCGACACATTAATAAGGGTTGGTCCTTTCTGTCAGTGTTTTTAATGTTTGTTGTCTTATTTTGGGTAGGAAGCGGCATTGGTACAGGTCCAGGAGTCATTCAGGACCACTATTCCCCTACCATGGGACGTCATCGCACAAACCCACTCTTCAATGGCCATATTGGAAATGGCAACGGTTCACACCAGCCTCAGTTTGAAGCAGGAAACAAGCTTTTCATAAAACCAAACCAGGTACTTACCATATTGTAATTGTTTTTTGGGGTTTTTTTTATTATTTATTTATTCATCTTTTTTAAATACTTTTTTGGCATGGTGAACGATTGCAGTCATCATTACTAACGCTCATGCTGTTAAATCTCTTTGAAAGGGGCAGAATTCACCGGTTTTCAACCATAAGCAGAATCACTCAGGGCAGATGCAGTCTAAGGATATGCCTTCACGATTCGGCAAGAAAGGGAAACTCAATGCTGATGAGGTACAGCTGCTTTCATTGATAGGCAAAGATTTTTTTTTTATTTTTTTTTTTTTTATCTTTTAGTTTGGCATCTTGAGTTTATGTCGCAAATAATCCGGGCAGCATTCAAACGTATCCTGTTGTTTCAGCGGGATGATGTTATATACCTTTCAGTTTAAGAAATGTGAAGTAATATTCTAACCATGTGGCATTTTTCTAAACCTGTTGTCTTCTCTCTTGTAGATCAGTCTGAGGCCAGCACAGTCCTTCATTTTGAATAAAAAACAAGTGCCAAAGCTGCAGCCACAGATGACTATGATTCCTCCAAGTGCCCAAGGTTCCCCACTAGGACAGGTAACATTCTTACATTTAAAACAAAGACATTGAACTGATATGGTAATAGGAAACATACTCATGTGGCCTTTTTTGTACAGCCTCCGCAGCTTGGCTTGAAGACCAATCCTCCTCCGATTCAGGAAAAACCTGCAAAGTCCAATAAAAAAGCTCCTCCTACAAAAGAAGAGTTGCACAAAATGACAGTAAGTTCCTCATAATTCACTCTGTACTTCTTTTCTGCACAATATACTTTCTGTATAGCACATTAAATCTGACTGGTTCTTTTCATGCAAGGAGACACTGGTGACAGACTACCTGAACAACAAGAACATTGACGAGGCAGTGAATGCTGTGAGGGAGATGAAGGCTCCCAAGTACTTTTTGTCTGAGATGCTGAACAAGATCATGGTTCATTCCCTTGACCGTTCAGATGAGGATAAAGAACAAGCCAGTACCCTGATCCATGCACTCTGCACCGAGGGGCTCGTCACAGGTGAAAACCTAATGCAGGTCAGTGTCATAATGTACAGTACTCGGGTAAACCGATATTCAGTACATGTTTCATTGTCTGGACATTACTCAGTACTATATTTTGTTTTTTAACAGGCCTTTCTGAGTGTTCTGGACCAGTGTCCCAAGATTGAGGAAGAAGTCCCACTGGTGAAGTCTTACCTGGCACAGTTTGCAGCACATGCAATCATTGCTGACCTGGTCAGCATTGCAGATTTGGCCCATCAGTTGGAGAACGGTGCACATTTCCCACTTTTCCTGCTCTGCCTGCAGCAGATGGTCAAACTCAAGGACCGTGAGTGGCTGAGTGACCTGTTCCAACAGAGCAAAGTCAACATGCAGAAGATGCTGCCTGGTATGTCCAAACCCATTCTGACCCCATGTTTATAATTAATATGTCATTAATTAGGCTGTCAGCTCATTTTGTATGAGAAACTTGTTTTTTTTGATGATACAGTTCAAGGAAAATGAATGAGAATCTCATTTCATTTATTTATTACCCCTGTAGAAATAGACCAGAACAAGGATAGGATGCTGGAGATTCTGGAGGGCAAAGGTCTCAGCTTTTTGTTTCCATTGATGAAACTGGAGAAGGAGCTTCTGAAGCAGATTAAAGTAGATCCCTCTCCACAGTCAATCTACAAGTGGATCAAGGACAACATCTCTCCTAAACTCCACACTGACAAAGGTTTTGTCAACATCCTCATGACCAGGTACAGCAGTGGACAATGTTTCTAATACTGCAATCAGTCTCTCAAATATATTTACATTATGAGCCAGTGTGTTGTTGGTAAATTTAACACCAAGTATTTTACAGTATATTGATTATTCTCTTGTCTGCCAGCTTCTTGCAGTACATTGCTTATGAAATCAACCCTGATGACGATGAAGAGCAGCTTGCAGCGCCCAGTAAGGAACAGCTGGATGAGGAAAAGCAGCTGTTGCTTTCTTTCAAGCCAGTGATGCAAAAGTTCTTACACGATCACATGGACCTGCAAGTCGGTGCATTGTATGCCCTGCAGGTCCACTGCAATGCCAAGGGTTTCCCCAAAGGTACGCATACCTGTTCTTTAACATAGTAGCTTATGGCTCAAGTTTTTTTTTTTTTTTTGCAGGGAAGTTGGCTAACTTTGGTATGGAAGCTTTAGTGTGTAATGTGTGTAATGGTTACTCTCCTTTTTTCAGGCATGTTACTGCGCTACTTTGTAAACTTTTATGACATGGAAATAATTGAAGAAGAAGCCTTCCTTTCATGGAAAGAGGATATCACCCAAGAGTATCCAGGGAAGGGAAAAGCGCTATTTCAGGTAAATTGCTAATAAATATTTTTGTAAAGTTCTTGAAATTGCTCACACAAAATTTAAAAACCAGGTTTCGCAGTTTGAAACATTATGTCCCAGATAACATCAGAACAGGGATATCAGTGTGCATGTAAATGTATTCATTATAAATAACTTGGGCTGATGGAGATATTGTGTTTACATTGCAGGTGAACCAGTGGCTGACCTGGCTGGAGACTGCAGAAGAGGAGGAGTCGGAGGAGGAAGATTACTGAGGAACAGGCCAAAGCCATGTGTTATCAGGATGCAATGAATGATTGTGTTTTTGTTTATTTCTTTTTACTTTTGTAACTTTTTTTTTTTTTTTTTTTTTTTTTTTTTTTGTGCCCTTACCTGTCTCAACCTAACCCCTCCCCCCTATTGTTTATAAATATTTTCCAACCACTGTTAAAATTCATTTCACTATGAAATGCTTTGCCAGATCAAGCCAGCATCACCACCATCTTGTATTTATGCTTTTCTTCCTAATTTCCTCTCTCATTTGATGTCCTATAGCAGATGTTTTATACATTTCAATCATCTTGGGTTATGTTTTCCTTATTACTAGGTGGTATTTTGCAGGAAACTGTACCAGCACCAAAACCTGACCCATTTTATCACCTTTTACATCTGGTAGGCGTCACCAAGTGCTGCAGAAACTATTGACTTAAACTGTTTACAATAGAGAAAAGGCTCAAAGAGACTTTCTCAGTGTTTTATCTGTATTTGTTAATCAGTTTTTAGATGCACTTTGCTCAACATCTTGAGTCGTTGCAATAGTAAAATACACTTTCCTTGATTTATCAGTCCTCCTGAGTTGTTGGCTCGAATGATTCATAATGGTTTTCCTGTGCTTGAAAGCAGACCATTTTGTCTCAAATCAAAATCTTAATCAGGATTTAATGATTCTGTAACAATAATGGCCTGTTTTATTTGCACTGTTTGATTTCAGTTACCCACATTTAATCTAATTGAAGCTTTTTTTTTTTTTTTTTTTTTTTTTTTTTCTTCATGTATGAAACTTTTTTGCTGTTAGGAATGTGTGGCCTTGGCTTTTTTTTTTTTTTTTAATTTATCAATTAATATGGATATACCTCTAACGTATCTCGGACTTTACTTGAATGTCTCGCTTTCAACATCGAGACAGCCAAAGCTTAGTTTCCAGTGCTAGTTGTTCACCACCATGAGTGGAAATTTTAAGTCTGTTTTCCATATTTGTCAAGTTTTTAAATGGTCTTTTTATCTTCATAAAATAACAGAGAATGTACTGTATGTGTACACTTAAACCTTCTTTTGGAGTGTCACTGTAATTTTAAGTGCAACAAGATGAGTGTGCAAGTATAGATCAAGGTTGAATAAAGTTTAACAGTTCATTTTGGTTTCCTAAACCTTTTTTTTTATTTTTATTTTTTTATGCCTATTTAATGCCCCAACAGGCATGGGCAGAGGCATTTTTTTCAGGCTGCCTTGTCTTTGACTGGCAACAAATTTGGCACAAATGTTCACTTGACCTCAAGGATGAAGTGATCATCCCATTCTTTTGAATGCAATCGGATAAAATGAAGTAATAACCAGCCAAAGAAAAAATCCCATCAGCTTTTTGTCAAGGGAACCAGGGTGATGCCAACAAGTGCCCTGCAGCACTCGAAATTGTATTAAATTAAATTAGGGTGGCTGGGAAGTACACTAAAATGATTTTCTTTACCGAAGAGCCTCTCGTTTAACCGATTCTGTCTTTGTGAATTGAGGGACGCAAACAACTTAAAATTTCATTAGTAAAAGCCAACTGATATCAATGTTATATTAACCTTAGAATTGCGTGTTTCCAGTTAAATCAAAAGACGAACAATCAAAATGTCTTAAGTGACTCACTATGGTTAAAGTTGCTGTTTGAGCAACTAATTTTTATGTCTTAAAATGATACAGGAGCAGGTGACAATGCACATCTCAAAAACATGAATGAGAATGTTGCCGTCTTGAAATGATACAGGAGCAGAAGGTGACAATGTACATCTCGCACAAATCTTTGTTCTTTTTTTATTTGACATTTTGTTGAGGCATCGTTCCATTTTTGAGTCAGCGTCTTGTCTGACCATCTGAGATAGAAAATAGATGTTTACACCTTTTAGTTCACTCCAAACAACTTGATCTATCTTTAACAAAACATCTTTAACAAAACAGCTGTGAAAACACATTTCCAGTAAGACGTGAGAAATACATCACTGTGCCAAAATAACTACACTTTTCTAGGCTAATTCCAAGATATATGGACAGAAATCCCTGCTTTTAATAGAAAATAAAAATGCAGATGTGGAGATAAGTCTGTGAGCAAGATCTGAAGATTTAATCGCTGTCTTCATCATTGTTGGAAGCTTCAGGTTCAGTACCGTTGTCAGATCGCCGTGGGGAGCCCTCGTTGTCTGATCCCGCTTCAGACCCTCTGTCTGATCCCCGGTCTGACGCCGCGACGGGCGAACCAGGCCGAGACTCGTCATCTGATCCTGACCGACTCCTCTTGCTTTCGTTGTCTGACTGCTCCGAGTCAGACTGCCGCTGGATCCTCCTCTTCTTCACTGGGCGGTCGCTGCCGGAGTCGTCATCCTCGGAGCCTGCGGAGCGCCGAGGGCTTCCCGCCTCGCTACCGGAGCGGTTCCTTCCTCCGTCCGACTCACTGTCAGATGCAATGCGCTTCCTGTGGCCGCCCTCGTCATCAGATCCTGAACCACTGTCTCTTTGGTGTCTGTGAGGGAGAGAGGGCACCGATGAATTGAATTTTGTTGATTTACTTAAATTGCCAGCACTGGTTTGAGTGTAAAATCTGATTTTCAGGACTGTGCTTTTACCTGTCTTCAGCTATTTTCAGTCCATCCTCATCTGAAGATGATTCAGAAGAGGAGATGATAGCCTTAGACTTGATCTTCCCTTTGAGAGATGGTGGCAAACGCTCAGGCTGTGGCTAAAAATGAGAAGGTTAAAAAGCTAGGAGTTAGGCCTGAGAAGATATTTTAAATGATTTAATCCGGACAGAAGAGCACAACAAAGAAATGACCAAAAAAGGACCTTTTCGATCCTCTTGCGTTCTTTGGGTTTACGCTGCTTCTTGGATCGTGATCCTCCTTCCTCATCATCACTCTCATCCTCTCCTCCTGCTTTAGCAGGTCTGCAAACACAGGACAATTTTCTCTTAGTATTAACATTGTTTGCATTGCAGTCAAAATAACCACATTTGGCATTCACTGCATCAGACTCACCGCCTCCTCTTCTTCTTCTTCTTCTCTCCGTCCTCGACCTCCTCCTGCTCGCTGCCGCTTCCACCCTTTCTCTTCTTCTTCTTCTTGATTGGCAGGTCCTCGTCAGAGTCATCGTTGACAAACTCATCCATGTCACCTCCTTTCTTACGCTTGGAGATAAAAATAAAAAACAAGTATGTTACCAACGGTGAATTTTGGTGCAATTTAAGAGTTTGCTGATGAGTTCGCTATCAGTGCTGGCACTCACACGTCCTCCACCACCGCCTCCCTTCTTCTTTTCTTTGGCCATTTCTTTCGACCCTTCTGCGAAGGTGAGCAGGTTCTTGGTCTTCTCCACGTACAAAGCTCTCTGCTCCAGGAGCTTCTTCTGTTCCTCTGCCTCTCTGTTCCGTTTTTCCTCCTAACGAGGTTTGAGGGCGACAAGCCAAACGGTTAATAAGAATCCTATTACCATAAAACATGTAAAACATGACTCCTTGTCACTGTGCGCTATTACCAAAAAAGTTTTACATTTTTTGTATGGTAGCAGCATAAGTACCTGCTCTTTGAGCAACTGCTGGCGCAGCAGGTCCCTCTCCTGCTCCTGTTTGGCCCGAAGCTCCTTCTCCTCCTCATCCTGCTTTCTGGCTCTTGCCACGTGGTATTGAGCCTGACTCAGCAGGTCAGAGCACTGCCTGCAATCCCACAACACACCCGTACCCACAGTGATATTACAACCCACACTAAATGAACCAAACTCCAGTCCCATGTAAAACATTATAATTAAATGTAGAAATGGGTCAATTATTATATATTGGCAAACTATCAGTATCCTCTGATATTAGCTTTAAAAAACCAACTACTTTTAGAGCTACTGCTATAAATTCTTGTCACTGTTCCTTGAAAGCACCTAAAAGCCTTCAGCATGTACCATGAGGATAAATTCAGACTGACCTGGCCTCAGAAGCAGCCAGAGCGAGGTCAAACCTCATCTTGTCTCCTGCCTTGCTGAGGTAGCTGAAATACCTGTGTGAAGAGGAGGAAGCAGAGGAAGGTGAGAGGGAGATAACATTTCAGGACTGGGCAGAGGACAGCCAGGAGGATCAGGATGGTAGGAGAAGTCATGAATCAAGTCTAATGCCACTACCTGTGAGCCAGCTCAAGCTCTTTGACAGCGCTGAGCACAGCCTTCAAGTTGCTCTTCTCATCTTTCAGCACAAGAGTGGCCAGTCTCTGAAGCACCAGCGCCACATTGAACATCAGCACCGTGTCGCTGGGCGCCACGTGACGGGCCTTGTTGGAAACACATCAGAAAGACAAAGTTATACTCTCCTCATTTTGTAGAATAAAATAAGAGCCTTTCATTTTTTCCTCATGTTACCTTCAGTAGCATCTGCTTGCACTCTTGGAGTTTCCCACATTTGAAGAGCGCCCTCGCGAGGTACAGCAGCACCTCAGTGTTCTGATATTTGTAAAATTTCTTCAGGCAGTTCTCATACTGTGGAGCAGATCCAAAAAACTTAACTGTACAGACCAAAGACAATAACTTTCAAAAAGTTATCGCAAATGAGGCTCTTACCATCTGCACAGCGCTGATGTACTGCTTCTGCTCGACATAGATGTGAGCCAGATTTAGCCAGACGTCACTGATGTCCGCTGTGGCCTCCCTCACCTGCGCAAACACATCCCGAGCCTCTCTGAAGTAGCCCTTGTGGGCAAGGACGGCACCTGGACGAAACGGTTTTTATGCTTAATGCATCATCCACATACGGCAGAATAAACAAAACAGAATGAAGCTATACAGACCGATGCCATTGGCGGCATAGAGGTTCTTGGCATCATTTCGCAGGACTTGCTTGTATATCGCCAGGGCTCGATCCTGGTGTCTTTTTTCCTGTCGAGACAAAAACACCGTTGCTCCATTTGGGGATCTACAGTTTCCTTTCACATAGTGTTTCATCATAGAGACACCCCGCCTCACCCGAAACAAAGCAGTGGTGCTACATGACACACCAATGTTTATGTTTATAATGAGGGAAGCAACTCATCTATTAGTTACACTGATAACAGGATGTAAAGTTCTTACAAGATGGGGAAAGTTAAGACAC